CATTTGCACTGTTTTTTTTCGGTGAAATAGATCGTCTGCGTTAAAAACTGGGTCATGGTCAATGAGATTCTAAAAATACAAAACAGGAAAAGGAATCTATTCATTTTCACAAGTAATAATCCTCTTTTTATGGAAATTTCTCAAACCAGAGTACCATTATATCTAGCTGGCGCCCGTCCGGTCCCAGAAGGAACCGCTATTGAAAACACTGGACTATCAAGTAACAGATAATATAGTGGAATCTGGTAATTTCCTAATCCCAATCTAGGTTACTCAACCAAAATTTCCATGATAAGAGATTTGAAGATGATAGTTACTGAGGCCTGAGACGTTAATCTCGGATGGCAGTAGATCAAAAGCAAAATCTGATTGATTCTTTTCCACATTCCAACGCTCGTAACTACAGTTGCAAACGTAATGAAAGTAGCAAAAAGGGTGTATTAGTTGGCACAATCGACATTTCACTTTTTAGTTGACAATATTAGGAAGTAAAACCCTTCCGTAGCCAACACCGTGAAGGAGAATTGACAGTCAATGGTCTCCCACACTAGTGTAGTTATATTTTGTGTCTCGGGATAACCGTGTGGGAAATTCACAGATTGTATTGTACTAGTCCAAACCGAAGCTGAAGCAAAGAGAAGTTTTCTCCTTTTCGCTAGCTTAGGAAACAAAATTATACAGCAGCAATGTGTGTAGCACTTTCAGCTGGACTTAATCGGTATCACACTGTGTCTGATTGTAGTAATGCACAAAAATGGACTGACCGTTTGCAACGCGGGAACCACCATCACGCTTATCAAGGATTTTATTTAGGGGCAGTTGCCCAAGGCCAGCTTTCAATAGCCTTCCTGCTTTCCATCAGTCATTGCGCTGGTCGATCAATCCAAAGAGTATAAGGTCAAAGGACAGCTGGAATCGAAATCCGCGTTGACCAAAAAAGTGACCGGTTTAAGTAGTCGCGAGGTTTGTGGAATTCATACCCACATTACTTTCGTTTGAACAGTCCTCGTGTTCTGGTACACTTATTCTAATAAGTCCACCGTACTGGAGATTCGCCCTTATTAGAGCTCATCACCAGTGGACGCCTTTGGCCACGCCGAATCTTGAAATCCCTTCATGCTAGGTAAGCGTGTTACCACTACTTCACCAGCGCACGCTGAACACATTTGAATTATCATGTCTCATCAGGCAAACGTGTTCACACTTGAACAACGTAAACGCTTTACCCGACTCCTCGTATGATAGCTAGGGATCGATTACTTCAGTTTGAATGCAGACCAGTGGCAACCGTAGAGAATCATCAACTGAACCACCAAAGCAAGATTTTGACAACTTCACTAACCGATAAGAGCTATTAATTGACACTCAACACGGATCTAGTCTGAAGAGGACTGACTTACTGATTGGTTCCCCGTCTGCCTTATAACCTGGCCAATTTGGTGACCCGCTCACTTGGCCTGATGGAGCTTTTGTGTCAAAAGCGAAACGTTGCGCAAATAAAAACTACCAATTGTTTATCAAGCTCTTCTGAAACAAATGACTTCTAGGCGGTTCCAAACACTTTCCAATTCACTGAATGCACACCCCTCTGAAAAGGACTAGCAGATGAACAGGAAAACAGTGGACGCTCTCTCGGTTCGATGGGACAACCGAAGGTACAAGCCACCGACAACCAGTTCAACGCCTTTTTCTCCTCCAATACAATATACTCCTATTTTGTCACACAGGCTAGTGATTTTTCTTGTTGCTTCTCTAAAAATAAGCGCACTTATGGTAGTTCGGCTTAGCCGACGTAATTTTCATCAGAGTCGTCGACAAAGATCAGTGTCAGTCGACTGAAGTCCGTGAAATTAACACTTAAACTGGACAGTAATCATGCACCACCACACTATCCAACCACTGAGAGGTTGATTTTCTTGGCAAAACATATTTTCCAAAGCAGTTGTCGAACACTAGTCACAAAGTTGAAGTTGTCATTTCCAAGTGTTCTACTGAGGTAGTCGTTATTGACTGCGAAGCTGAATGAAACCAAGAACAATAGGGTTTAATGGCAAGCTGAATGATATAGCAGGATAGATAAGCTGACAGGACGGTCCCTCGCTTTGGAGAGAGCAAATTTGCGGTTGTGTATGGCAAACAATGGAATCAAATGGAGGAAAAAAGCATATGTGTTTGAAGTAAAATTGAGGTCAACAAACGTACGAGAAAATCATACACAGCTGAGGGTAACTTGTTTCCAAGAAAACCGCCACCCTTTAGTACCAGCTTCCAATGTAAACCCATCTTAACGCCTGAACACAAAACCTCAGATAGACACTGTCGCACACGTCTACATCAGACTAAAATCTCTTTTGCGGCGGCGCTAACAACTAGTTAGAGCTGACTCACTTGTCTGTTGTCAACAGAATTGTACAGGTGACCCGAAAAACAAACTGCACGGCGCAGATTGATCGGGTTGATGGTTTCTCTGATTGAGTGTGACGAGAGCTGTTTTGGTGGACGCATCAGCGGTGCGGCGTATGTGCATGAGATTATCTGCTTGTGCTGGACCCTGGTCACATTCAGCAGAAGTTGTTTACTGTTTGTCTGGCGGAGATGGAAACCTTATAATTTTCAGACCAGGTTTTACACTCAGTACGTAAAGGAAGGGGATGTCTCTCCGTGGCTAGTTACCTTCTTGCATCCCGTAAAATTATAGGTTTAGAGAGTTCAGAGGAAACCGAGACGTGAACGACGCTGATCGATTTCTCCATTACATCCCATCATCATTCCATATAAACAAAGACTTGTAAACCTGCTGAGCATTGTTGTTTCGCTAATGTGCACACTGGTCAATGTGCAGTGAATTATCTTTGACAGAGCTCCATCACGATCGTTATCTTTTGTATATACCAGTCATCTTGGTCATGAACAAATCCAAATGGCTTTGTTACAAGTGTACCCAGCGCACAAACTTAAGCTATTCACGAAATTTACCAGCTGACAGTATTAAATGGCGCTGATGATCGAGAATTTTGTGATTCCGATCGGTTTAGTTCGAATCATCTCTAGTGATTGCGTCGTTTATAGAATCGTTGCTGGTTTCTTCGGACCCATCAGTCTAAGCTGATGGATAGTTCATGACATGGTTACACAGTGAGACATCTCTGGACGACTTCGATAATCCTGGAGTTGTCCAGTTGTCTTCGAGAAACACATTTGCGAATCAATTTGGCCTTCACGAGAGACATAACTGAATCTCTCGTTTGTGATATCCTCCAACTGAATGTGCTGCACGCAGGACGCCTCATGTTTCAGTTGGCACGATATTCGAGATATCGCAGTATATTTTCACACGGGAAGCTACTCACAAGGCTGCTGAAAATTCTTCGACAGCCCACGACCAGTTTTGCCTTTCATGGGCTCATCAGGTAGGCGCGGTCCCGGGGATTCCGTCAACCTTATGTTATACTTGAACCCAAACTGGACTGTTTTCGAGAAATGCACTCATTTGCAAATCAATTTGGTTTTTTCACGAGAGACTCAATTGAATCTCTTGTATATGATACTCTACAACTGAATGTACCCCACACAGGCCGCCTCATGATTCAGTTGGCACGATATTCGAGATATTGCAGTAGAACATAATTTTGACGGAAACTCGGAGACTGCATCTTAGCCAAGCACGAAACAGACGCTGTCAGATATTTTGCCACTGAACATCGCTCTGCTAACTAGCGTATTAAAAGAAAAAACATTCAACAAAAATAAAGCACAACTGGAGCTTTCGATTTTAAGCGCGAAAAAGACATCCAAAAACGGGAAAAGTTATATCTACTGAGGTCCAGACATAGCAGCTGAGTGATGCTACCAGCATTCTCTTACCGATTTGAGGGCAACTCTCAGTCTACTAAAGCTTTGTTCCTGCAACTCCGATACATTTGTCCTTCTAACCTGTTTCGGACCCGAAGCTGTTACGGTCTTGATCTGGTCGGCCAAAGAACGACGTTTTCATGGTGCGTTCAAACCCTAATGGTCAGATTTCGAGAACTAGATTAAACACGACCGGCTGCGTAACTGCAATTTCCTCTGACGTTCCACTTGATAGGGCGTACCCCAAAAAATTGACTCGATGGTGAAACTACTGCAGATGCTCTGTGACACGTGGACTTTCGAAGACAAGCCAACAAAACGAGACGTCTCCCATACCTTACACAGTTTACCTTGGAAAATCGATTTATTCCAGATAATGGCCTGAAATTCTCTTCGGTTTGAACAACTTTACCGGGAAATTTTATTCACTCGTATTCAAACTTATAAGCGGAACACTTGTGTAAATAAACGGATCAATCAGAGCAAAAAATAGTCGTGAAAAGCTGGATTCTTTTCAACAATCTCCGAAACAAAAGTAGGGCGAGCTCGATAGTAATCAGTACACCAGACGGGCTGAACAGTTTCAGTTGAGTCTACACTAATATCAAGGTTACTATCGATCCAAAACAGAACGGACAGTTAAGTTTCCTCAATGTCAGTAAAAAAAGAGAAGAATGACTTGACCATAGTGCGCGACGCTCACAGAAGTTAAACGTGGAAAGATCCTTATATTCACTAGATAGATTTGTTCCGTTGCAACAGAAGTGTAATCTAGTAAGATGCCTGACTGAGGGAGCAATGAAGATATGCTTCTTCGACTGCTTACAAGAGGAACTAAAGTCCTTGGGATGTATCTTACTGCAGAATATCCAATAAGTGACTGAGGGAGCAATGAAGATATGCTTCTTCCACTGCTTAGAAGAAGTCCTTGGGATGTATCTTACTGCAGAATGGATAGGATATGGGGTTCGCACTCAAGCATCTACAGTCCGTAATCCAAAAAACTTAACATTTTTGAGTTGGGAAGATGACCGTCTACACCAGGCCCAGTTCGAAGGTGACTATTTTGCTGAACTGAATACCAGAAGAATTGGACGCTCTGTTGGTACATACACGGCTGCTACTTTGTGTTCGAACTTCAATCGCACGTCCACTATCAGGTTCCCTTTGAAGGACAAATTGCCATGTTCTACCACCAGCCTTTTTGTATACTCACTTGTATGCTCGTGCCGAGCGTCATATTTTGGTCTTACGACAAAGCTTTTGTCGGACAGAATGCGCCAACTCAATCCCTTGTCTCTGGGTGGCAGCTGGAAGAAATCAGGCTCAAGTACAATTGCATCACGCTTAGCCGAAACTAGTTATGCCAACAAAGACCAATCTTGGGTATCACGTACCGGGTACCGCTGAACCGATCACGTCTGGCACGATCCCGGCTACCATCGATCGCGGCTGCGATTGGGGTCTGCCACTGGACCTACAACTTTGCGTCCGAAAGAAGCTTGTGTGACCTCTGAACTTGAACCGACTTGAGAAAAATCCGGTCCCACAAATGCTGTCTGACATTGACTCTTCCTACTTGATTCCAGGATCCATTGATCTCGCCCTCATTTAACCAACCTCCCTTCCATTTCTGTTTTACTAAATGCATATGCCTTCCCCATGATTTTAACCTTTTTCATGTGTTTTCTGATGATGAACAGTGTAGACTGTTTCACTTACAAAACAATATCTCCATTGAAATTAAATCTCCTCAAACCACCGGTAAATTAAAAAGTGCCCTGAGGCAAAATAAAAAATTTGCTGACTTTCAAAAAGACAAGGAAAACAAATAGCCTCTATTCTGAATACCCTATGTGAATAAAATGAACAAAATGCCATTCGACAGCAGTGCGCTGTTTGCATCACCGATTTCAGTTTGACTCTCGTTCGAACAGTGCATGACTAGTTATCGTCCCTTCACTTTGTCAACGCTTGCAAAACTGAACTGGAACTAACGGCGTGTAAAAACTGTCTCGTGAATTGGCTTAGGTCACACGTATTGAGGTTGTAGCGTACTGTAAGTCGTACTGTACCCGAGGTGAGTACATTCGCAGGTTATCAAAAGCACATATACTGGAGAACCGAAGTATCAGTGTTGAACAGTGATGGTGGGGACGATGATGTTAATAAGTCTAAATGTTATTCTACCTTTCAAGTTTACCAACGAGAGCCCAAACCTTGCCACAGTTGATTACGGTTTGTTTGTTTCTCAAGCAGAAAGTTTGAACAATACATGCATTTTTCTGCATTTCGGATAATGACTGAGTTCCAGGCTCCGCTCTACTGCTCCAGTTTGTAGTGTTTGTTACAAAACGAAAAACACCGCTGCGTTTTCTCCATTCTAACAGAGATCCACATAAGCAGGCGTTTGTATCCCACCCCATTTTTGGGCATCTAATAAACGAACTGGCTGCTTTTACAGACCGAATCTCAGAATTAAATACACCAACTCATATTTTGACCTTCAAGTATGTCCGAATTTATGGAGTTTTTTTAAATCATAAAGTCAAAACGCAGCGTAGTTGGATATCCTAAGGGGTTCGCACTCAAGCATCTACAGTCCGTAATCCAAAAAACTTAACATTTTTGAGTTGGGAAGATGACCGTCTACACCAGGCCCCGTTCGAAGGTGACTATTTTGCTGAACTGAATACCAGAAGAATTGGACGCTCTGTTGGTACATACACGGCTGCTACTTTGTGTTCGAACTTCAATCCCACGTCCACCATCAGGTTCCCTTTGAAGGACAAATTGCCATGTTCTACCACCAGCCTTTGTGTATACTCACTTGTATGCTCGTGCCGAGCGTCATATTTTGGTCTTACGACAAAGCTTTTGTCGGACAGAATGCGCCAACTCAATCCCTTGTCTCTGGGTGGCAGCTGGAAGAAATCAGGCTCAAGTACAATTGCATCACGCTTAGCCGAAACTAGTTATGCCAACAAAGACCAATCTTGGGTATCACGTACCGGGTACCTCTGAACCGATCACGTCTGGCACGATCCCGGCTACCATTGATCGCGGCTGCGGGGCTGCGTGTCCGCCCCCAGACCTACAACTTTGCGTCCGAAAGAAGCTTGTGTGACCTCTGAACTTGAACCGACTTGAGAAAAATCCGGTCCCACAAATGCTGTCTGACATTGACGCTTCCTACTTGATTCCAGGATCCATTGATCTCGCCCTCATTCAACCAACCTCCCTTCTATTTCTGTTTTACTAAATGCATATGCCTTCCCCATGAGTTTAACCTTTTTCATGTGTTTTCTGATGATGAACAGTGTAGACTGTTTCACTTACAAAACAATATCTCCATTGAAATTAAATCTCCTCAAACCACCGGTAAATTAAAAAGTGCGCTGAGGCAAAATAAAAAATTTGCTGACTTTCAAAAAGACAAGGAAAACAAATAGCCTCTATTCTGAATACCCTACGTGAATAAAATGAACAAAATGCCATTCGACAGCAGTGCGCTCGTTCGAACAGTGCATGACTAGTTATCGTCCCTTCACTTTGTCAACGCTTGCAAAACTGAACTGGAACTAACGGCGTGTAAAAACTGTCTCGTGAATTGGCTTAGGTCACACGTATTGAGGTTGTGGCGCACTGTAGATCGGAGAGGCACCCGAGATGGGTGTATTCGCAGGTTATCAAAAGCACATATACGCAAGAACTGAAGTGTCAGTGTTGTTGTACCGTCAGTGGTGGTGACGATGATGTTAATATTTCAAAGTGGTACTTTACGTTTCAAGTTTACATACGAGCGGTCATATCTCGC